CCACCCCATCAAGGCTATGAAGTGGCCCTGGGGCCCTATGGAGGGGCCCTGGGCCTGATACAGGGGCACTGGGTCCCTCCCATGGGGACAGCAGGGTATGTCTTGTCCCTACGGGGCAGCCCTATAGAGACTGTAGGGTGCCGTACCCATGTGCTCCCCTCCCACCCCTCTGGGGGTTTTGTTACCAGCCAGTATCAAGGTCACAGCATGGGGCAAGAGCCCCCCCAGATTCCCCCTCCCCCCAGCACCCTCCACCCTGCGCTTTGTTAATGAATCATGGATCGTGATCATGTAATTAAAGCAAGACCTACAGACATTGCAGGGTGCTTTATCTTTGTCACACCAGGGGCGGGGTCTGTGTGTGTCACACCCTGGGTGTGGCCTTGCCCCCACCAGGGACTGCGTGACAGCAGGGGACTCCAAAGCTAGACCCCAAGAAAATCCACCAGAGGCAGCAGAGCTGTTTATTGTCTCCCCCGCCAAATTCGGGGGTCCTGGTGGGGGGGGGCTCTCCCTCAGACAGGGGGGCCACCATCACCCCAGGGCAGGTCAGAGCCGGCCAGGACTGTGCGTTCCACTCCCTCCTTGGTGATGGCCGCCAGCCTGATGACCCCCCCACTGGAGCCGTCCCGCACCATCGCCAGGGCCAGTGCTGGGGGAACACAGGTAAGGAACCCCCTAAACGATTCATGTTCCCAAATCCCCAAGACACTCCAAAACCCCTCAGTGCTGCCCGAACTCTTCTGTGCTCCGAAATCCTCTTCCAGGACCCCCCAAAGTCTTCCGTGTTCCACAGATCCTCTCCCAAGACCCCTACACCACTCCCATGTTCCCAAAATGCCTACCCGGGACACGCCCAACCCTTCAATGCCAGCCAAACTCCTCTGTACCCCCAAATCCTCTCTCAGGACCCCAAGCCCCCTCTCAGGACCCTTCCCACCTCCCACCCCAAATTCTCCAATATCCCCCAAACCCACCACGGGCGACGAATTCCTGGCACTGGGAGCGGCTCATCCCAGGCTGGAATGTGGCGTCCAGGAATCCATAGATGTAGGAGCTTCCTGAGCCCCCCACAGCGAAGGGTTGGCGCAGGAGCAGCCCTCCCATCGGCACCACGTACACCTGGGGGGCACAGCGGGGGCTGTAGGGTGCTCAGGGGAAAAGGAGGGGGCTGCGGAGCAGAAAGAGAGGACTGCAGGGAAAAGATGGGGTTATGAGGCAGAAAGGAGGAGCACTGTAGGGCAGAGGTGAGTGCTGTGGGGCAGAGAAGGGGATACCAGGAAGCAGAAGGAGATGTGGGGCAGAGTGAGACACTCCTGGACAGAAAAGGGGACACTCGGGAAGAAAAAGGGACACGCTGGGACAGAAGAGAGGACAGAAAAGGGGACACCGGGACTAAAGGGAGCCCACCTGTCCCCCCCGCCGTGGGTCCCAGCCAGCGACAATGATGCCGGCGCTGAGTTCCTCACGGTACCGGTAGCAGCTCTGCTGGAAGAGGCGGGCGGCTGTGCGGACCCGCGGCGGCTCCTCCAGCTCCACGCTGTGGGGCAGGGCCAGGTGTCGGGCTGGGGGTTGTCCTGACAGCCTCCCTGACCCTACCCCATGCCCATGGGAGGTACCTGTGGAAGGCCAGCTGATAGGCCACAGCATCAGCCACTGCCTGAGTGTCGGCTGCTGAGCCCGAGCGGCAGCAGAAGATTCGGTCGTGGACAGGAGTCAGTTTGTCTGTCACTCGGTTGGCTATGTAGGACCTGTGGGACACCGTGGTGATGTCAGTGTGGCAGCAGCCTGGCTGCTGGAGGTGACAGCAGTGTGATGTTACCATAACAACCCCCCAAGGTAACACTGCAAGAGGAGCAACACGCTGGAGATGCTAAGAAAACCCTGGAAAGCAGGTGTTGGTCCCAGAAAGATGCTGGAATTTCTTTGGGCACAAAGTGCCAGGTTTTGCAGGCATGAGACTTAGAAATATAGGATTTGCTGCAGTAATAACAACAAAAAGAAATAGGGGAGGAAATCCTGGAAAGCAAGGGATAACCGCCAGGGAACGCTGGGAAATGGATTTTACAGGATTACCAGGATGGAATATCAATAAAAATAATTCAGGTTTTGTTCAAAGATCTGAGGCACTGGAAAGAATTTTTCCATATAATGGACCAAAGATGATAAGAAATATAGTGTGGGAAGTGTCCCATATTTTACAGATGAATCAAGAATTACATTACTTAGAAGGATCCAGGAAGCCCTTTGGATTGGGTGATTTTAACACGGGATTTAAATCCAATTTTTATCACCACGCCAGGGAATGGTTCTGTGGGATCTGAAAACTCTCCCTTAAAGAGGAAAAACGATTTGGCCAAGAAAAAATGGGATCTGTGCCTCCACAGAAACTGGGACCAAGATCACGAACTTTAACCTGAGAATGTTTTTGCAGGAATTATTCCACATAAATAAAGGATTGTTGGATAATTTTGATGAAGGAAAATGCCTGTCAAGTGTGACATTGATATCTTGAGATACCTGGCACCCTGCCTGCAGCTTTGGCTTCCCAGTGACATCATCATGACACCGTGACAAGAGTGACAACCCCAGCACACCGTCCCGGATCTCTGTGAGGGCACTGATGATGTCACGGCCCATGGCACTCACCCGGTGGTGGTTCGGGAGTCGGCCCCTATGACGACGCCTCCGTCGAACTCCACGGCCATGATGGTGGTCTGGGGGGAAGGCAGGGAAGGTGTGCGCTGCAAGTCCCGGCCCCACAGCAGCCCCTGCCTCACAGAAACCGCCTTCCCACTGCAGATCTCGCCTCACACAATTCCCCTGCCGCACAGAAATCGTCCTTCCACAGAACTCCCGGCCCCACAGCAACTGCCCCCCTTCCCAGAGAAACCACACCGTGCCCCATAGCACCCCTCTCCAGGGGGGTCCCTCTGACCCCGTTCTCCTTCTCGTACTCTTCAGGGAACTCTCTGCTCCCCTAGCCCTTGCCCCCAGCCCCTTCTGCCCCAAACCCAGCCCCAACTTCACCCTCAGCCGCACATCGAGGACCCTCTGCCCCACAGCCCGCTCCCTTCACCCCATGGCGGGTTCTCTTGGTCCATAACATCCCCACCCCCCGTAAGCCCATCGCGACTACATAGCCCTCCAAGTGGGTCCTCCCGCCGCCCCCCGCCCCACTCACGCCGGTGCTGACGGGCTCCGCCGTCCATTCCCGGTGAGGCCCGGCGGGGCCTGACCCAGCCCGCGACTCCCACACCGTCACCGCCGCCATCTTCCCCGGCACTTTTCGGCAGCACGATCGGCACGGCGGCTTTGGGTGGATGCTTTACGGCAGTTTGGCAGGAGTGTACAGGGCGGCGGCTGTGCTTTATGGCAGTGTGGCGCTCGCTGTGGTGACCGTGTGCTTCCTCGGAAATAAAACTCTCGTTTCTCTCACGTCCCGGAATTGTGGATGAAAACGGGGCGGGTGCTGCTGCAGGGGGCTACCTGAGGACACCTGAGCGGGGAGCTGCTGGTGGGCAGGGGCCGAGGGGGGATTTCCGGGGGGTCTCTCAAGGAAGGATGGTTGGAATATCTCGCAGGGGCTCGGGGAGCACCCGGATGCACCTGGGCATGGAACTACTGAATGGGATCTATGAACTGGAGCCGGATCTATTTACAGACACCGCCCCGCTCACTCCCTCCCCAGGCTCGGCAGCCGCGGAACTGCCGTAGCTCCCGCTGCCGCCTCCCCCCCGTCACCCAGCGGAGCGGGGCAGGGCCCCGGTCGGGGCACAGCGGCAGTACCGCTCTATGCCCACAAGAGCTCAACATAACGTAACTGACTCAAAGGCAGCTCACACAAGAAGGGAAAGAGGAAAGAAAAAAACATCTGCGGAGCTCAAAAGCAGAAACTCTGTATCCATGTGCACTAACATCCATGATTTTTTACATTTCCATTTTTTCTTTACATTTGACTTCATCCCCAACAGTTGTCTAAGAAATACTGTTATTAAATCTTTGTTTCTCTTGGTACACAGTGAGAACTTGGTGTTCCTCTGTATGTGTGGCTTTGGCCACGCTTGTGGACATGTAAAGTCAGTACTTGGAGTCCTCTGGACACATAATGGGCAAAGTGTGTCGGAGGGCCCCAGTGGATAAATTGCTGTTCTGTACATCTGTAGTGGTGCTGAGTTTTCCTTTGGTTAAGGAGACCTTAAGGGTTTGGAGTGGCATTTCTCGGCCTTAAGGTGAAACCTCAGAGCTGGAACCAAGAACAAAGACCCTTTGTCTCAACCTGGAGCAGCTTCACCTAGCAGAGCGGAGGGAAAAGGAAGTGGATGTGGAGCTGGAAGAAGAGAGCTTGCAGTGAAATAAAGCTCGTGGGCCAAGAGCTGAAATCACTGGGGCAGGGAAGGGATCACTAGGGCTGGAGCTATAATCACTGGGGCTGGGATAGAGACTGATAGTGGTATTGACACGGCTGGGTGAGATAACTGTGGTAGCATTCATATGCTGAAATCACTGTAGGTCAGTAATATTGATGTTGGGGCAGGGTCAAAGGGCTGAGGTCAAGTGCAAAAGGTCAGGGGTCAATGGTTAAATTGGAAAGTCAGGGATTCAAACTTCAAGGGTCACATGTGAATGGTCAGTGTTCAAAGATCAAGAGTAAAGGGTCCCAGGTGCAATGTTATGGGTTAATTTTCCAAGGTTATGTGGTTCAAGGTCCATTATCAGGGAATCAAACTTCAGAGAGCTAAAGTCAAGAGTCAAAGGTCAAAATTCAGAGGTTAAGAGTAAAAGGTCAATGGGAGGTTGCCAGGGATTTGCAGGGAAGAGGAGTATTTATAAACTTTATCCATATTTCCCTGTAATTCTGGGTGTTTGGATTTCATTTGTGCTCGTCAGGATAAGCCATAAACAAGCCCCTGAACTCTGCATCCATGCGTCAAGCACTTCCACAGAAAGGCAAGTCAGCAGTGATTCTAGAGGAAAAATTAGAGGTGATGGCTTATGATCCATGGGGAATTACACTGGGAATTGTGAAACTCAAACACATGGAATTGTGGAGGTGGAATTCCATTTTCAGCCTTGGGCACCAGGAGGAGGAGAGGTGTCCTCATACATAGCAAGGAAAGCCTGGTGCCCCAGTGTGTCAGGTGCAGACAATGAGCTGTCCAGGGAATGAGCAACAAGTTCCTTCTGCCCCTCCCCTCACCCGTAGGATGGCAACAGC